GCCAGGAGCAGCAGCAGCAGCGGGGCCATAGAGGGTGGGGCGCTGCTGTGCGGGGCCTGTGTCCCGCTCTCCGGGGCTCCGGTCCCTCTGGGGCTGCCCTGCCCTGGCTCCTCAGCCCCCTGCCGGGGCGGTCCCCCAGCTCTGTCCTCCCCAGTCCCAGCCAGTCCTGGAGGTGGGAGCCCCGGCTGGAGGGACCCTGGGCTGAGGCGCGGCCTGGGAGCCCCACTGCTTACCCCGATCCTGCCAGCGCTGGACCGGCTGGAGGCGAGGGGGGAGTGGGCGGAGTCAGCGCTGGTGGGGGGAAGCCCAGCACTGGGGCGGCAGGCGGTGCGGGTCGGGGGGGGGAGAGCCCAGTGCTGGGGCAGCAGGGGGTGCGGGTGTGGTGGAGGGGAGAGCCCAGGGTTGGAGTGGGGGGCAGCCAACATTTTTTTTGCTTGGGGCGGCAAAAAACCTAGCACCGGCCCTGGCTGTGAGAGAAATGAGCAATGGAAACTAATCTGAGGAAGAGGAACATGATGGCCATAGAGTTGTAAAAGGTGAGAGAAATTAAGAAAGGAAGGAACTGAGAGCAGGTGAGCAATACAAAAAGTTGATGTAGTGAGCAATATTAAGTAAGTGGTGAGTTTGAGAGAAGGAACTCTGAGACTAAGACATGTGAGAATGGTGCTTAGAGAAAGCCAAGAAAGCAATCAAAGTGGGGCCTGATTCAAACTTTCTGAGGTCAATGAGCAATGGATCAGGTTTGTGGTGAGTAGAAAAGTCAGTCCAAAACAGGAGGTCAAACGAAGAGTAAAGAAAGGAAGCTGAATAAGTTATCAGTAGGGAAGTTGAAGTCGTCTAGGTTTGAGATGAGGAATTGAGATGAGAGGAAAAGAGTGAGACAGATATTGATGACAGCCACATAAGGAAAGAATGGATGGCATGAGCTCAAACAGGAAGAAGGAGAAAGGGGTGAGTGACAGGAGTGTCATGGAATGGGTAAGACAGGAAATGTGGGGAGGAGAAGAAAGGGATTGATGGGAAATGAAGAAGGTAGAACAGTCTAGTTAATGCTTGCCCTTGCTCTAAAAATGTTAGACTGGAACTGACTAACATAGAACTCTACAGTTCTTACAACTGTCAAAATACATCTTATACCACATTCTCTTCTAGAAATCATCCTACTTTTATGCTGTCTTCAGAATTACTCTTTGCAAGGAGTGAAAAATGCCAGAGTAACATCCAGTTTCTAGTTTACTAAGTTGCTAACAGAGTTGAGCAAATACTACAAAAAATGTTCCTGAGAATCAAATTGCTTCCGCTTAATTTGTCGTGTTTGTTGTTTTTGACAAATATTCTACTGAACAAATTTACTGTCAAGAGCATTTGGGAAATGTTGGAGAATTTTTGTGAAAAACTAAATTTGAACTCATGAACCTGATTCTCAAAGTTAAACTCATGCAGTCAGGAAAAATGAAGTCACCACAGCTCAGTGGCTGAATACTTGCAATTAACTATTTGGGAACAATGTACAGACCAAATACTCTTTTGTAGAAATTGTTCATTTAAGCCAAGAATAAATTCAAGAAGGCAATCTGAGAATGTAAAGAGCAAAAATTCTTCAGTGCAAGTTACTCATACTGTTCAAGTTGCTTACACCCTAAAATGTTGGATTGGTTGGTGAGGGTTAGATGATATCCTCACTTAAAAAAAACCAAACCTGTGCATGGAAAAATATTTTTAAAGTAATTGTGCCCAAAACGAAATTGGGCACACGTCTCAAAAATATATTGCCCAGGTACAAAATAATATATTATAGAAAGTAAATTTAGCTAGGACTTGAGGTTAATGTTTTAAATATAGGACAAAAATCTACATTAACTAACATTCAGTTCCACACGTTTGTTACATATTAAAAAAACCCATGGTCATAATTTTCAAAAAAGAGGCTAGTGATTTTTTGGGTTCCACGATATTTGGGTGCCCAACTTCTCACATCTGTAAGAGGCCTGATTTTAGAAAGTATTGAGCATCCACCTTTTAGCAATCCCTCCTTGAAGGTGTCTCAAGTTGGGTACCCAAAAATTGAGGCACCTGAATCAACTTGTTATTTCTGAAAATCTTGGTCAGGGAGTTTCTGGTGCATATGTTCAGAATAGGTTGGTATCCAGTTGTTCAATATTCATCCTGCTTTTCACAGAAAGTACCTTAAACTGAAAATCCCTAGAGTTAATTATTATTAGAAAATACCCCTGAGTTGAGAGAAGAGCTGAGAGAACAGCTCAGACTATCTGGAGGACTAAGGTTCAATGGCTGAGAGGAAATCTTTAAATAAAACTTTCCACTTCTATAGTGCCTTTCTCCTGAGAATCTCAAAACATTTGACAAACCTTAGGTCCTCCTTTGGGGCTGCAGTTGGCTTTAAGGAGCATCCTCCATGCTGTAGCTTTCAGCAGTTTAATTTTTTAGTGGACATCAAATCTCTTCTGGCAATCAGAGCCTTTTACTTCAGCAATGGAAATCCAACACAGATTATTCCACCATTACAAAAAAAGTAAATTATATACAAAAACAATACAAGATTATGAATTTAGCAGTCTGATTTAAACCCACTAACACAAGGAAATTGGGAGTTAAGGCTACAGTGATGCTTTATGGAGGAACTCAGGTATATGAGCAGTCATACATATCACAGCCACACACAGATAGAGGATAAGGTGGAACATGGACTGTTCTGAGGACCTTCAGAAATAGGACTGTTGTCGCTATATTAATGCTGAAATTTCATTGCAATGCAAGTTTAAATCAGATCCTTAATCTTACTGTAATGCATTTCTTTGTTTTTATTGGTGATGCCTCCATTACGAAGAATGCACGCAACAGGAAACAACAAAAGCATTTGCTTCTCTCGCTATTTGAGACGAATTAAGTTTACATCCACTTCATCTAGTATCTGTGGGATAGGACTACGAGCCTTGTGCACAGCTTCCCTTTAACCAGTTCAGTGCTGTTTGGACTTCATGATTCGCAGTCACTGTATATGTATTAAAGAGAGAAACAACTTGTGTCACTATAATTTTCCAATGAAGTTTAGCTCATTATAGTTTTCCAATGAAGTTTACTCAGTGGTAGTGGTGGGACAGTGTATTGTAATGATGATCTTGTGGACTGAAAATAAACACAGGTTATAGATTCCATAAAATGAACATGTTTGTGATACCAAGCAGTGTGAGCGGGGCTGGTTTGATTTCTCTCTCCTGTTTCCAGGCAAACCCTGACAAATCATATTTCCCCCGACACACTCACCCAGGGCCGGCTCCAGGCACCAGCTTAACAAGCAGGTGCTGGGGCGGCCAGGGGAGAGGGGCGGCACCTGCGGTAATTCGGGGGCGGCAGGTCCCTCACTCCCTCTAGGAGCGAAGGACCTGCCGCTGAACTGCCGCCGCCGATCGCAGCTTTTTTTTTTTGGTGGGGCGTCAGAAATGCTGGAGCCAGCCCTGCACTCACCCCAGCTTCTGCACTATGGG